GCGCCCCCACTTGGGCCACAGAAGGTCACAGCTTTCTGAATTCAGACCAGAGAACCCGAGATGGCTGCTGTTCTCCCAAGCAAGCATGTCAGGGTGACCGGCTAGTGGCAGGCAGCCCTTGTGCACAGACCTCTGGGCTCTGTGCTGAACCCAGGTCACCAGATGGGCTCCCCTTTCCCTCACGGTGGGTTCCCCTCCAGAGCCTTGCGTGCCCTTTCCCGCCTGTTGCAACTTGTAGTGACTCTCACCTGAAAGGATCAGGTCCTGGCTGCTTCCCGTACCCCAGACTCCAGGGCCTCTGCATATTGGCCCACCGGCTCCCGGGTCCCCAGGCCCGCCCAGACTGCCGTCCTGGGACACTGGCCTCCAGGTGCTAGTTCCCACCTTCTGCCTCACGCTATATTGCAAGGGCTCTTTTAAAGACTTTGCCAAAATAAGACTGCCAAAAATTCTCTAGGCTGGGCTATTTTTGGTTCTTTTAAAATAGGCAACAAGGTGGAAGTTTCAAAGATCCATCAGAGGGGTTTTCTGGGACTCCTTTTACTCTCTTCCCAAAGCAGCATCCAGCAACGTTGAGAATGAATAGATTCGGGTACACCCCAGGGTGGAGCCCTCTTCTGGTGAGACCTGCTCCTCTCCTCTCTCCCTCTTCCGCCTGTCCTTTCCCTTCTCCAACCTTCTGGCGGTTCTGGATGCCCTGCTTTAGAGACTGGAGGGGGACAGCCCAAATCCTTTTGCCCCTAACAGGGCAACTGCTTTGGGGGTGGGTGTTCTGTCCTCTGCAGTTTCAGGCTGCTGGGCAGCAGTGATGGGCAGCAAGGAGAGCCAATCACAGGTCTCCTCTGCATTTCAAAGGCAGCCCTCTCTGTTCCCTATGGCAACGAGGAACAACAAGCTGACACCATTTCTGGACAAAGAAATTTCTCACAGGGATTTATGTAGCATTACATGTTCTGTTTGCTGTGTTTCTGGGAGAAGTGCACACAGATATTAGAGCAACGGCTCAGAAGCCAATCCTGTTTGTTTTCCAGAGGAAGGGGGAAAGTATGCATCATATAGTGTTAGGGGGCTTTTGGCCTGTGAATGGGGTCTCACAGGCCTTTCCCTGAATATGATGATCAGGCCCTCAAGTGACACCCACGCAAAGACCATCAGCTCCGCCCCCCACCCCGGCCCCGGGAGGGGGGGTCTTACTTGGGCTGCAATATGCTGGCAACTTCTCCCACTAAAATATTAAATATCACCTCAGGAGGGACCGTGACACACGGCAAAATAAAAAAATAAAAGCGGTTCTACTAACTGACCAGACAAGTAGCTTCCAAACTTTTTGAATTTTACAGCACAAACCCAGTTGTGTATCATGTATGTGCAGGAATATACACGCACACATGACGACACCTAGCCTCAAACATGTGATGTACGCTGATATTTTCTATTCCATTCCATTTTTTTAAGTTTATTTTTTGGGAGAGAGAGAGAGAGCGGGGGAGAGAGAATCCCAAGCAGACTCTGTGCTGTCATCGCAGAGCCCAGTCCGGGGCTCAAACTCACCAACCGTGAGATCATGACCTGAGCCAAAACCGAGAGTCCGATGCTTAACCAGCTGAGCTGTCCAGGCGCCCACCCCCTCCCCCATTCTACTTTTTCGATACTGTTGTGACTCTCTCAACTCACTGTTGGTTTGTAACCTTAAGTCTGAAGACACTCTCTTAGATGGAACGAAGGGCTGAAGGGGCCCGCGGCTTTGGGGGCGGGCGGCCTGGCAAAGAGCACCCCTGGCAAAGCTCCGTGGTGAGTGTGCACTGCCGCAGCAGGGCTGGGGAGCCAAGGCCGCCACTCCCCCGTCCCGTCCAGGGGACCCTGGCGAAGAGCAGAGGGGCGCCAGCGGGGAGGCAGGCTGCCTGTGCCCCTCCCTGGACAGGGACAGTGGAAAGTGAAGACAAAGGAAATGGGACATGGGGAGACACCGGATGGCTAGGGTATACAGAGCCAGCAGGGGTCTTGTGCAAGAAATAGGAACAGGGAAGGGGGGAGATTTGGGGAACCGGCCACATCAAGTTTTAATCTTCTCTCATTTCTGTGGGCCACTCAGGTTGACGAAGGTGTCCTCATTTTAGGAAACCCCGTTTGAGGGTTTGCACGCGTGTGTGCACCATTCGCGGAATGTCTGGTACTTTATTTACCCCAGTCCTTCAGGACAGAATGAGCACCGGGCGAGGCCGGCCTCCCACAGGTGCCTCGACCGGAGCCCCACACCCACTTCGACCTTTAACACTTTCTGAAAAACAGATTCAATCTCACCAAGAAAAGGGTGGTTTTCACTGCAGATCTTGTGGGAGACGGGGAAGAGGGTTTGCATCAGTTACCACACGGCAGACTCACGAACCCCGCTGTGAAAATCCGGCTGCCTGCCTTCAAATCCCATTCAGAAGGTTCACCTCCTCTGTGTGATCACTGGCCTTCTTTCCCAACCTGCAGGTGGGTCGTAACAGCGCCTTTCCTCCCCCTAAGCCCCCCCACCACCCCCACCAGGAATTCAACTCCAGCCTCAGCCCGCACACTCCACCCAGCAAGCAAGCCAGTGGCTGGCGGAGTCCTACCGCCAGCCCATCCTACCCCAGCAGACCCCATCCAAGTAGTCTATGCTCCTCCCTGCTCATTAGCAACGAGGAGGGAGGAGGTGATAAGGTTCAAATGAAGTCTCGGATTAATGAGACAAAATGTTTGAAAAGTACAAGAATCGTTCTAATTCATCAAAACTGCGAGGTGACATCTCCCTATGAATAAAGGCAAATGTGGTGCCCTTCCCCATCTCTCAAGGCTGGTGGCGACGAGCCTGAGATGTCATATGATGCCAGATCAAAGCAACTTATTCCACTGTCCCCTTGTTCGTTAGTGCATTCAGTCAAGACCCGCCACCCTTCCAGCACAGAACCAATTAAATGCTTGCCCTTTGGAGCTCACCTTGTAGCAGGTGAAAACAGAAAATAAACCTCAAGCGAATCTATCACGAGAGCTGAGCAGCAAGCTAGAACAGAGGAGGGGAGGAGGGAGGCCTGGGGTGAATGGTCAAGGAAGGTGGGGGGCAAGGTGCCAGATAAGGTACCACTTGCACGTAGACCTAAAGGAAAAGAGGAGGGTACCATGTGGATATCCGTGGGAAAAGCATCCAGGAAGAGGGAATGGTGTGGGCGAAGGCCCTGAGGTCAGTAAGCATTCGGGAGGCCAGTGTGGGTGGAGCTAATGAGCAGGAGAGAGTCGCAGAAGATGAAGCTAAGGGTGGGAGATCAGGACTCCGGGAGCTAGCGACACAGGGCCCTGAGGGTCATCAACAGAACTTTGGTTTTACCTGAAGATGGGAGCCATTGTAATGTTTGATTGACAGCTTATATTCTATCCAAACTAACCCTACACCTGATCTGACTTCATTGTCATTCAGCCAATAAGCACAGGCCAAGAACCAGGCAAATCTGAACAACAATCAGACGCCGTCTTGTTACATAATGAATGAGGTCACAGCCGATGAAGCGTGGTGTGGGCCGGCAACTAGAAACACAAACCTCCTGGGTGTTAAAAAAGGAGGTGACTCCCTCTTGACCCAGTGACCCCACATCTGGGACTCTCCTCTCCAAAGATATAATACCAAATACTGGAAAACCATACCTCCTACCTTCAAAACTGAGCAAAGGGAATGACCATCACCCTTTATCTAATGGCCATGGTGGTGGTGTTCTAAATCCGCAGATGCTGGGGGCGCCTGCCGGGCTCGTCTGACTCTTGATTTCAGCTCAAGTCATGACCTCACAGTTCGTGAGATCGAGCCCCGTGTCAGGCTCTGCGCTGACAGCACTGAACCTGTTTGGAATCCTCTCACCCTCTCTCTCTCCCCTCCCCAGTGCGTGCACGCTCCCTCTCTCTGATAACAAATAAATTTTAAAAATGTAAAAAAAATTTAAACCTAGCAGATGCTAACAGCCCCGAACTTGCTGTCAGATGGGGTGAGAACCCACAGCACGTGGACTGCAGGCCACGTAGCTCTGGCCACAGCAGTGTCCCTGCACGGCAGCCTTCGCTCAGCTGCTCTCAGTGGTCTAGTCCCCAGGAAGAACCAAGGGGCCATGGTTGT